CTCCCGGCCACTGCAGCCTTGACCTGCTGGGCTCCGGCAATCCTTCCACCTCAGCCTTCCAAGTAGCTGGAACTACAGGCGCACGCTACCACACCGGCTAATTTTTTTTATTTATTGTAGAGATGAGGTCTCGCTACCCAGGCGGGTCTCGAACCCACGGACTCAGGCAATCCACTTACCTCAGCCTCCCAAAGTGCTGGGATTACAGGCTGAGCCACCGTGCCTGGCTCCAAAAGCATTTTTAACTGACACAGAAGGTCAGCCCTGCCTGCCCAGAATCCCCTGCAGGCTGTGCTAAAAACCCAGATTCTCCTTTCCCATCAAAAACCTATTGGATTGGAATTCCCAGCTGCGGTGGCTGGGATCTGTTTTTCTTTTCTTTTTTTCTTCTTCAAGTTGGAGTCTCACTCCATATCCAGACTGGAGTGTGCAGTGGCACGCTCCTGGCCACCACATCCTTGACTCTGGGCTGGGCTCTGGTGATCCTTCTGCCTTAGCCTTCCAAGTAGCTGGAACTACAGGCGCGCACTACCACACCCAGCTAATTTTTGATTTATTGTATAGATGAAGTCTCGCCAAGTTGCCCAGGTGGGTCTCGAACCCACAGGCTCAGGCAATCCACTCACCTTGGCCTCCCAAAGCACTGGGATTACAGACTAGTCACCAAGCCTGGTCAGGATCTGTTTTTCTTTTTCTTTTTCCTTTTTTTTCTTTTTTTTTTTTTGAGTCGGAGTCTCACTCTGTCACCCAGACTGGAGTGCAGTGGCCACTCCCGGCCACTGCAGCCTCTACTAGCTGGGCTCCAGCGATCCTTCCGCCTCAGCCTTCCGAGTAGCCAAAATTACAGGCACGCACTACCACGCCCGGCTAATTTTTTGATTTATTGTAGAGATGAGGTCTCGCCAAGTTGCCTATGCGGGTCTCGAACCCGCGGGCTCAGGCAATCCACTCACCTCGACCTCCCAAAGCGCTGGGATTACAGGCTGAGCCACCGAGCCCGGCCAAGATCTGTTTTTCTACACCTTTCAGGGATAGCCTTCCTTGCATGAGACTGAGAACTCTCTGAGGCGTCACTAATGCACACATCATTCAACAAATGCTTGTGAGTACATGCTCTATGTCAGGAAGCATACCATGTGCTGGGGGCACAGTGGAGAACAAAACAGATCCAGCACCCACCCCCCATCTGATTACTGCAGTGGCCTCTTCAGGACTGGTCTCCCTGCTACTACCCCTGCCCTGCAGCCTTTTCTCAACAGAACAGCCCAATTGACCCTGTTGAAGGTTCCCGGTGGAGTCCTTCTTGCAATCTAGAAGGTCCGGTATGTCCAGCAACCTCTAACCTCTGACCTCACTTCACACTCCCCCTCCAACTACCTCACACGGCCCGGCCAGCCTGTCCTCTACACCCTCCAGGCATACCCTACCTCAGAGCTTTCCACCCCACGGAAAGCCCTTCCTGAGAGTGGGGAGCTCGGGCTCACTCAATTGTAATTCTCCTGTGTTGCCTGGTCACAGCTAAGTGAACCAGGGCTTTCCCCTCCCAGAAAAGGCTTCCCACGAGCTCAGGGCACCCAAACTCAACCTTCTCGACGTCTGACCTAAAAGACTCACTCCCCCTGCAAAGTCAACCCCAGGCTGGCCCTGGAAAGAGAGAGCGCCAGGGGCAGAGAGCATCTGCTGAGGCACAGCTGGGCTAGCATATCCAGGGTTGCTGAGAGCACTCCCATGCACACACCCGTAGCAGCCTTCCGCTCTTAGGTGAAGCTGCTGTGTTAGCCCTCAGCACTCAAAGACAGCCAGGGTAGCGGTGAATTCAGTGTTGCCTCAGTCTTCCTGATTAAAGGGTGATCACAGAATGAAAAGGGGGCTTTGTAATGAGGAAGTGGGAAGAGAGAATGATTCCAGAATTATCCTGAGCTGGAGACACGATTGAGTATAACAAGGAAGCGGAGTCTCCCAGAAGCCAAGGCAGAAAGGGAAATCCAATCCTTATCTAACAACATAGAAAGAGTCCTAGAAAGCAGAACAGAATAATCCAGTGATTTTCAAACTGCTTCACAGGGAAAGACGGGGTGAAGCCCAGCTGTTTATAATCCCTTTGCCCTCATCACCTCCTTCCCAGCTTTGATGAGAGCAGCTCAGTGTTTATCTGTTTCCAAGTGTTTCCACTTAAACACAGATTCCACAGCCAAAAAACAAAAATAAGAAAAATTCCAAAACCTGGCTTCCGATCCTGGCTCTACCACCTACTAGCTGTAATTTTAGGAAAAACTGGGTTTCAGTTTCCCAAACTGTAAAATAGATGTCAAAGTACTTACTTCACAGGGTTTTCAACATTAAATGAGACTTTGTTTGTGAAGCAATTTGCACTAGGCCTGGAATATAGTAAGAACTCAACCTATCGAGGCTGTTGAGGAATATGTCACCACAAGATATGACTCTTTGACATGAAAATTATTTTTGAGCTGAAGGCAATTAGGAAGCAGTGTACACAGAAAAAACTCTCTCTTGCCTCCCCCTTATCTGCCTAAAGGCAGGATATAAATTCTCCTTTACTGGAGACAACACTAGACTCACGCACTCACCCCGGGGGCAGCTGGAGAGAGGATTGCAGTAACACCTTACTCCGCCAGTTTCCTCTCAAGTATTTACCTTCCCATGGTTTCTGGCCCTTGGAAGCCTAAACCCACTTACCTTTGTGGAAGGTGCTGTGTAAGCTTGAGTTTTAAGCCCCGCTTCGCGTGACTTCTCACTGAGGTTCCCCCACGTGATGTGCGCTGCCCGAATCGATCTGTCTTTTGTTACAGGGCCCATCCCAGGAAAGAAATCATGAGGACTGAGGAAGAAGTAATTTTTTTTCCTGCCCTGCACCATTATTAACAATCACACCGGTTTGTCAGAAAAGAAAAACTTGTTTTAACGCAAAATGTCAAGAGGAATCAGAGCTCAGATGAGCCCAAGAAGGGACAATCATTGCATAATGTTATGGTTTCCAAACAGCATTTTTACGAAAAAAGAAGCAGCATCCATCGTGTGATTCTGTGTTGTTAAAATCCTGGGTGAACTGCTCAGCTGTGGTCCTGGTAGTGTAGGGGCAGGGGCTAATTCTGTGGCCCAGGCCTGAATTCAGACCCCAGCTCTGCCACTCATTGTTTGTCACAAGCCTAGATGACTTGCTAACCCTCATTTCCATTTTTCACATCTGTGACAAGGGCAAGAAGAGCTACACTCATTAAACATCCAGTGCCTTGCCAGGGATGGGGCTCGACACTTTGTTTGAATTATCTCAAGACTGTCATTGTCCCCCTTTTATCTGAAACCCCATCTGCCTTCCCGCCCCCCACCCCCTACCCCCCACCCCCCAATCAGAGTCTCACTCTGCCATCCAAGCTGGAATGTAGCAGTACAATCATAGCTACCGCAGCCTCAACCTCGGGTGATCCTGAGCCTCCCAAGTAGCTGGGACTACAGGCACAAACCACCATGCCCAGCTATTACTTCTTTTTTCATTTACTGTAGAGACCAGGTTTCACCATGTTGCCCAGCTGGTCTTTAACGTCTGGGCTCAGGCAGTTCTCTCACCTCGGCCTCCCAGGGTCCTGGGATTACAGACGTGAGACACCATGTCCAGCTTGCCTGACTTTTTTATCCAGGCAACACTTGCCATTGGAGGCTGCATGAGGGTGTTTTGCAAAGCACCCACATTCAGGCGTTCCCATCTGTCACGAGAAACATTCTGCAAGCATGCGGAGACCGAACGGCCTTTCTCCTTCCTTCTTTCCTGCCAGCAGGCAGCCCAGCTTGTGGCAATCTGTTAGAGTAGGTTCCTGGGACAAGAATCCCAGGGCCATCCCACTCATGACTTTTAGAAAAGACAGTGACCAAATGGGGTGCAGGGGTCCACATCCCTTCCCTTAGACAAGGAAGCTCAGGGAAGGAGAGAGACATGTATTGAGTACCTGCTGTGTGCCTGGCACACCCTGGGACATAGACACAAAGTGCCTAGCCCAGGGCCAGGCACATTCAAAGGATGGAAGTTCCTTCTCTCTCCGTCTGTCCCTCCCTTAAGGATATCTTGACAGGTGGCACAGCATGGCTGAAAGAGCTCAGGCTACACAGTCAGACAGACTTCAGATTCTGGGGGTATGGGGTATCCAGCTCTGCCACCCCCAGCTGATGACCATGGATAAGTTACTTAATATCTATGAGTTCCTTTTCCATCAAATGGGGGTTCCAAGAATACCAACCTCACAGGTTGTAGAGGACTGAGTTAACAAATATAAAGTGTTCAGGAAGTGCCAGGCACACGGCCAGCACTCAGAAAAAGTTTCTTATTGTCATCTTCCCCGTTCCTGGTGGTTTCACTGCGTCACATCTCTCATTGTCCCAACCTTCCAAGTCCTAAGTCCACTCACTTATTCCTTTTTGCCCCTAGGCTTGTCTGGCATCCATGCCTCCTCTGTGGCTGGCACACCTCAACACCCCCTGCCCTTCTCCAAGTCCTCTCTTTTTGGGGACCCAACACCTTCTTACACCAGTTCTGGGTGTCCCCATATTATCTAATCTTTTTACTGCCTTTTTTTTTTTGAGTCAGAGTTTTACTCTGTCTCCCAGGCTAGAGTGTAGTGGCATGCTCATGGCCACCACAGCCTCAGCCTGCTGGGCTTAGGCAAGCCTATCACCTCAGTCTTCCAAGTAGCTGGAACTACAGGTGCATGCCACCACGCTCAGCGAATTTTTTTATTGTACAGATGAGGTCTCGCCAAGTTGCCCAGGCTGGTCTCAAACCCCTGGGCTCAGGCAAT